CTTGAGCCGGTGAGATTTGAACAGCCGAACTGCAGAACTGCAGTCAGCTGAAGTAGCCTGCAGTGCTGCATTTAACCACTGAACCACCTCGGCTCGGTTCATTCTCTTTTCCTCCAAAATTGAGGGAAAGGATGTATTGTCTCGACAGCAGTCTGGGCTAAATCCTGACAGCTTATTATTATTAACTCTAGATCTGTGAAAGAACTTTCTGATTGCTCCAAGCAACCCTGGGACATCAACTGATGTTAACCTTGGCATTGTAAGAGCCTGAAGACCTAGCTCTGCCAGTTGGCCTGGGGATCCAATGGGGAGTACCATATTGGTGGTGGCTACTAGCACCATTTATAGTTTGATAGCAAACCCCACCTTGCTCCCTGCTTCCCCACCCACTCATCTATTATTTTCGTATTGCTGCATTCTCATTGTCTTCTTTTTCACTGTTTATTCCATTGTTCCATTATTTCGCTACTGTTTTGTTTACACTACTTTTCATTTCTTCATTTTTATCGTTGTAAGCCGCCTAGAGTAGCCTCGCAGCGAGATAGACAGCAAATAAATGTAACAAACAAATAAATATATGTTTCTATACCAGAATGAAAGTTCTACCAATTCTTCCTTTTTCATTGTAAATAAAAGTGGATCTCTCCCAGATCAATATAAAAACTTGGATTCGTATGCATTAATCAAAAGAGAATAGCTTCTGTGATAAATACTTCTGCTTAGGCAGAGTAGTAACAACTATGATTAGATGTCATATAAATCATTCCATCTATCATGCCTTTTTGGTTTGAATTAACTAAATTTACTAGCTTTCATAAAAAGTAGGGAAAATGCAGGATAAGTATTTTGCCCCATAAAATAAAATATTTCATATTCTGAATCTGAAGCATTATTGCTATCAAGCAATCAAATCACAGATCAATTTCCTTCCCTATTATTTAAAACTAAAACATTAAAAAATATTTCACGTTTAATCTGTTTTGTGAGAAAAACAAAATAAAATAAAGGATTTTTTTCATCCTTTATTTTCTTTGCTTGAATATTTAAAAAAAATCCTTTCTGTATAAGAGTATTTGGGCCAGTTTTTAAACGAACAATTGAATCCTGAACTGGTGAGTTATTCGTCTTTCAATTTTGTCAATTGATTACCATTCCATAAACATAAAAAAATTGAATTAAAGTCTTAGGACTGCATTTTTTTTCCATTGAGAAGTAATGCTTTTGTTGTTCTAATGCCCAAGAAATTTATAATTCTTAATCAATCCCAAGTTTTAGTTATATAACTCAAAAGTAGATTCACTTCTTTAAACCACAGAGTCCCTCAACCTTTCCAGCTTTGCGGACCGGCTATGGAGGGATAGTTCTACATGAGCTACAGGTAAGCACATGTGCGCAACTCCATTTGCATGAGTAATGGGTGCCTGTGCCCGCCCACTGCTAGTACAAGTGGGGATGTATGCACTGCTCGCCCGCCACTTCTACATCCTGTTTCGGAAGGGTTCAAGGGCTCCTGCTTTAATCCATACTGATCTGTTGTGACTCAGCAGTTCTGCTGTGAGTTTTTTCGGGATACAAGATTCAGTATGCAGCTGGGGCTTGTGGGAGGCAAGTTTGGAGATAAAAGGACGGATGCTGCCACGCCCCAGTCGCTGGAGTCAACGTTCCTTCGTGCGTGCCTTGGTTTGTACAACATTGCTTGCTTATTAATCGTGATGTATGCCTGTTACACTTGGATAAGTGCTTTGGGGTTTCATGTAAACCTGGTCTGTGCAGACTGTGGAAGAAGTGAAGTGCTTGTAAGAGTCTTTTGTTTTGCATTCTTGTCGGAGACTTGTATTTATGTTATTTTTGGGCTCGAAG